TTCCTTTGAATGTGGAGAAGAGGCTGCTCGGGAGGGAGGGGAGGACCTGTGCCTCCCCTCTCATTATTCACCCCACGCCCCACCCTCGAGCCCTTTCGCCTGGGATGCCTGATTTCCCGCAAAGGCCCTCCCGCAGCAGCAGGGGGAGAGGTGCGCTTGGGAGGGGGCAGGGAGTGGCTCTCTTCAGCCCTCCCCCCTCCAGGCAGTGGCTTTCCTCTCCACCACCTGCATTTCTTTGGGACCCTGGCCTATCTGGGGATACTGGGAGGATGCACCAGTCCTCGGGATTCCCCTTCCTCTGGCGGGGCTCCCCCCACCCCAACACGACCCATCCCCGGGCAGGACTTTGCTGGTTTCCGAGGCCAGGAACTTCTGTGGCTTGCTCCATTGCTTTGTCTAGCCTGGTCCTCTGTGCTGTCTACGTACCCCTGCCCCAGACCTACCCAGACTCGCCAACGCTCCCCGAAATGGAGAGACTTGTGCCTATTGATTGAGGAATTGAATTCGAGGGTATTGCTAGGCAACTGCCTGCTCGGAGCCGGCGCAGAGCGCGCTGATGTGATTAGTGAACCCGGAGCTTCGGTGCCGCAATCCCGTGCGCCCTCCCAAGTCCCCACCGTCTCTCTCTGCCCTTGGTCTGCTTGGAGGGCAGATACCCCACTGCTGGGCGAGGGACTGTCCAGGGGAGCAGAGCGAGGATGCTGCTGGACCGTGTTCACGGTCCCTGTGGGCAGCAGACTTGGCAGCAGTGGGGGCGGGGTCGTGATGCCCGCATAGGAGAGCCACCCTTGGTTCCCAAAGAGGTCGTGGGGTATCGGGTAGCATCCAGTTCCACATCTACGGTTCCCAGCGGCCGTCGCCCTGCTGAGAAGCTAAGAGGATGGGGACACCTGCAGAAACCGCGGGAAGGGGTGCGGCCGGCCGATTCCCCTGCCCCAGGCGATACAGTCGTGGCCCCGCCCTCGCCCCGCTCTCCCCACTTTCCCCACTGCTCAGGAGGTCGCGCCTTTGCAGGGCACGCCCACACCTGAAGCGGCATCCCTGGTGGCGGGGCTCCAGTGCCCTTCCGACGTGAGCAGTTTGTGTGCGGGCTCCGCCCAGAGGAGCGCCGCTCCCGAGTCTGCACCTGGCGCTGCCTTGCCTTGCCTTGAGCTGGCGGCCCTGGGCTGTGACTTCTGCAGGGCAGTGGGCTTCAGGGGGCCAGAAAAGCTATTGGGTAGCCGGGTCCTAGTGTCGCGGCATCAATGACCTCGCCGCTGGGCCAGGCTCCTTCTCGTGCCCTTTCGTAGGTGTGTGGGGCTCCTGCTTAGGGAGAGGGAGGCGCCAACTCTGCCCCTTTCTGGGCTCACTGGCCACTAACCCATGTTGGCTTTGACCGGGAGCTCCCCTGAGCGGGTTTCTGTCTCCCGAGCATGTTCTCCGGGAAAACAGAGCCCGCGTGCATCGGCGTCGGCCCTGAGAACCAAGGACAGGGCCACGTGGTGTAGCCACCGTCAGAGTGGAGCCTGGACCAGCCCGAATGGGTCGAAAGGAGTCTTTGGCTCTCCTCAGAGTGTCGAATCGGGCCCGTTTTCTGTTTCGTTGATGCTCACAGTGCACAGGTCCTAGTCCAGGTCCTGTTTGTGCCCAGGAGAGATGTCCCTGTCGGCATCTCTTTCTCACCAAAGAGTCCTTTGGGCCCTGGCTGGAGTCCGGGGAGGCTGCTTGGCGCGGTCCATCGTGGAAGGCAGCCGCAGGAGTCCCCGGAGTCTGACCGTGGCTAGAGAGGCTGTGGTCTGCAATCTGGACTTTCCTGCTGGAATCTCGGACATCCAGGCGGGAGCCTGGGCGCCGCCCGCCACGGCCCGGGTTCAAGCCGTGCAAGCGCATTCCGGACAGCCTGAAACTGCTGGCTGGGGCGTCCCGGCACGTCCGAGGCGCCGGCGGCCAAAACTTCGTGGGACGCGCGCGCCCTCTAGGGGCGGCAGACTCAGCCTCCTCGCCCCCGCCCCCACGCTCTCCCTCATTCCGCCTGGAGGCCAGTGCCTGTCTGGCTCCTGATCCTAGCACAGCAAACCTCAACCCAATCCACCCAAAGGCACTGCTGGGCGCTCGGTCCCCGGAAAAGCACTCTGCAGCCGCGAGGGTAGAGGGGAGGAAGGAGGTGTCCAGCCGCCTGATTCCTGTCCTCCAGGGGCCCTGGGGTTGGTTGGGGTGGCGTGAGGCTGGGTGCGGGGCAGGGCCTTTGGGCCGGGTCGGGCCCCTTGCAGCCCTGTCCATTCTTCTGAGAAGGCGGTGGATTAGGCGATCAGATCAGCAGCGCAGAAACTAACAAAGGCCAGTGCGGGCCAGGGCCCTACTCTGTCTGGCGAGTCCCTGTAGAAATGGGCTCTCATGAAAGCCTGACTGGTCATCGTGGTCAGTTTGCTCCTTTCTGGCCGTCTACATCCTTTTTCTGCTCTTTTGAGAGCAAAAGCCAGAGGACAGTACCACTGGGGTTGCCCTTGCTCACCTTTTCCGAAACAAAATACAGCCTTAGTGAGCAACAAAAAAAACGCCTTTCTGGAGCCTGGAGCTGGCTGCGTTCCTATCTGCAGAGAGGACCCCCTCCTGGAGGGAAACATTCAGCCCCGCTCCTCAACTGGCCTCCCAGCCAGGGGTGGCCAGCGTCCAGGCCCAAGTTCTCTCTTCAAAGAAAGCTGGGTTCTCCCTGGAGGCTGATTTTATGAATAAATTCATGTGGAGGGTAACACAAAGCTTAAGGGGGCGGGGAAGGTTATATAATAGGCAAATCATCTTTTTAGTATGAGCCATGGGTTTGGAGATACAGTGGCCCCAGACTCGAGGATTCTTGTGTTGTATAGTGACTCCCTGGAATTTCACAGTGGTAGCTGTCCTTTTAGGGTCACAAATGCACCAGGGAGACCAGCAGCTCTGACACAGCATCTTTGAATACTCAATTTTTAATTTACTTGAGGGAATAGTCTCAGAGTGAATTATTACATTGCAGCAGTCCCGACCTCTACCCAGTAGATGTCAGTGGCACCCCCTCACATAGCCCTGCATAACAATTCAAACTTCACTGTGGACCACTGCAGACTCAAACCCCATCCCTTGCTCCCCAAAACATCTCCCCCTGTACCCCGTGAAAATGGTTGCCTTTGATTTTTTTTGTGCCTCAACTACTCAGTCTGTATCTTATGTATTTTGCCCCAACTCAGGCAAAATGAAGTCTTACTGTTCCCAGGCATCACTCACAACATACACCAGGCTGAGAGGTTTACAAAAATATTTATTGGTATGCTAAGAGTTACCAAAAAGGACCCAAAAGGACATTTACTGTCTTCCTCCTTCAAAATAAATTAAGTTTATAAAACTCCCTGCAACCTATGCTAGTGTGTTTTCTGGAAATACTAGAAAACCTCAGAATTACCAGATGCACTTGGGTAAAAATCTGATCATCCAGGAGCCACCTTTCTCCTGCTCCAATCCTTTCCCCTAAACCACTGTGGGCTTCCTGGGGGAAGGCATTTCCTTGACCTCGCTGGGCTCCAACAGAAATGGGGGCGAGGCTGCTGTTCTGTTTGAGCAAGTATCTGAAGTTTTCCCAGGGTAGTAACATACCCAAGCTTGCTCTCTGTTAAGAAAGCAAGCAAACAGGCAGAGTTTAAAGCAGTTGGAAGTGGCATACATGAATGATTTGGCTTTGTTTTTAATTAAAAAGCACAAATCAAGCCAGTGATTGGCACTGGTTCAAAGCTCTGGTTCTCCCCCAAGTTTTCTGGATGAAACCTCAGGCCTGGAGTGCTCTCTTGTCAGGTCAGAATTTGGAGTGTAACCCAAGTACAGAACACTCTTTTTAGTACCAAAAATACATACAAAAATAAGCCAAACCCTCTAAGGAAGAGGTCAGGCTAGCCACTTCTTCCCACCCAACACAGAAGCAAACAAAATCATGGAGGTTAAAACATCCACTCAGGACACAAACACTGTGGTACAGCTTACCCAGGACCCTCAGGAATAAAAGAACAAGGAATTTTAGAAGTGTGGCTAATGCCTAACCACACACACACACACACACACACACACACACACACACACACGAATAGCAGCAAATAAAAATACAAACAGGACTACTTTTATTTATTGGTAAACAAAGGATGGCTAACTCAGCATCTTCTGTAAACCTCCCACACCAGCACACACATTCTCAACATAAACTGCTGGGGTCACAGCATCTGAAACACACAACACAGCAAGAAGGCAAAGTGGCTACAAGCAAGGTGTTCACTGATTCAACTTTGGGATTGAAGTAGCTGGTAAAAAGAAAGGCACCAAATTGGGGTTTGGAGAGACTTGGCAGCTGGGGACAAAGCTGATCAGCCAAGACACCCCACTTCTTCAACAGGTCATGGGATCCCACAAAGGGCTTAGAAGAGGTTCTAAGGCAGCACAGTGCCTGGTGGGAAAGAAGCTGTTGGCTCCTCAGTGGGGTGGCACTGTGGGGTCTAAGAGCAGCACAGCACAGCCTTCCTGTGGCCCCAGACCTGGAGGCTGCATCTGGGTGGCCCTCAGGGTAGTCATGGACATGGGTTGTCCCCCAAGGCACACTGTTGAGATCAATCTGGCTACACAAAGGCCTTCTCTTCTGTTTGGTGTGGAGGTGAGGTACTGGGGAGCCCTGCAGCCTGGCAGATCCCCAGAAACCAGACCCCCTCTTGGTTGGGGCTGGTTTTAGAAAGGGCAACTCCCCAAAAGGCACCCAGAGTTAAGAACCCCACATCTGTGGAGTGACCAAGGGAAGCAGTTCCAGATAACTCATCCCCCAACTTCTTTTTGGCATCACATTTATTGACTGGACTGGCTGCCTTCTCCTGGTCACCTCTGCCCTAAACTCTCAGGACACTTGCAGCCACCTTGGCACAGGGCAGGAAGAAGGTGGTTGAAAAAGGACTTGGAGGGCCAGGGATATAGCTCAGCCGCACAGCGCCCGCCTGGCAAGCATGAGGTCGTGAGTTTGATTCCTGGTACAAAAAAAAAAAAAAAAAACCCAAAAAACAAAAAACAAAAAACCCCAAAAGAACAGAAAAAGGACTTGCAATCTTGAGTCCCTCCCCAGGCGGGGAGTAAGCAGGGCCCCAAGGCCAAGGCTGAAAGACCTTGGTCCTTGGCTGCCCAGCCTCAAATGGTACAAAGACATTTCTTCTCTGCTGGGAAGGAGCAGATACAGAAACCCCCAAAGGTGGGGGGGATTGTCAAAGAAAGCAGCCCCCCAGCAACCGCCTATCCACCGGGGGTGTCACTGTGGGCCTGCAGCAAACACTTGCATTCTGGTCCTCTGGTGGCTGGCAGGGGCAGCTTTGGGCACTGCAAGAGCTAAGCTGGTCCCTTGTCACCAGAAGATGAATTCCAACTTGTGGAGAGAGTTTCATATGCCCAGGCCCACCTCATGCCCAAGCTCCTCCACTTCCTACCTTTCCACCCCAAGTCCAGGGCTTTAGCCCCACAGCTAGGATGCACTCTATGGAGCCCAGGGTCACCTCCCACTGGGGTGCAGGTTGGCAGGAAGGAGCAGCCATGACACCAGATCCTCCTGCTCTTGAACCTGGAGGGCCCTCAGGTGAACCAGAGCAGCGGGACTGTCTCAGGCGAGCACCTGGAGGCTGGAGATGTTACTCCGAACCAGGGCTAGGTGGTGACCTTGTGCTCTGAACTTGTCCTTTTACATTAAGGCCCACCACGTGCCAGGATCCCTCAAAGGCCTAGATACTACTCTGAAGGAGGGTCCTGCCTGCCCCACTCAATCTTCTAAAAAATGGTGCCAGGAAAAGGGGACACTAGAGTTCCTCCGCTTTTTCTCCCCACTCCTTGGGGTAAGCAGCTGTTTAAGAAGCCCCTCTGACCCTGCCACTGGTCTCACTGGGGCCAGGCCAGAGGCTCAGACTCATGCTCAGCTGGGGGCTTGAGGCACTGGCCACCCAGGGGTCCTGAGGAGACACAGGCTGAGGCGGGGGCCTGGAGAGGTAGGGTAGTGGGGAAGCCAGGTCCCAGCAAGGCAAGGGGACAGCTTGTTACCAAGTCCCAGGACAAGGAGGAGTGAGGACAAACCTGCCTGCCAAGGAGACTTCACTCATCCCCAGCCCCTCAAGAGGGGTCACATGCCAGAGCAAAACCAGACAGTAAGGCAGGCAGACCTGGGTGGCTGGGGGCCATGGGTCAGGGTGACAGAGGTCTCAGTAATGTCTCAGGCTGAAGAAGCCCACGCTGGTCGGGGACTCTTTCACGGTGACCGTGATGAGGTTGGCTGTGACGTCAGTGACAAAGACGTGCTCAATGAGGCTGCGGGTGGGCTTCCAGTCCTGGCTGGTCTGGACAGAAACTGACAGGCTTTGTCCAGCCCCAGGCAGCGAAGATGAGTCGGGGTCTGAGTCCGAAGTGCTGTTCTCCTCACCTGTGCTCATCTCTGAGAGGGTGGCTGCCTTGCGAACTTCCCCTGCAGCCGTGTGGCCCTCCTGCCCGCTGGAGGCTGTGCTGCCCTTGGTGGTCTCCCTCTTGCCAGACGGGTTGGGCAGAGCTGTTGCCCTGGAGACCAGCTTCTCACCTTTGCCCATGTCTACAGGCATACAGGCCCCGCCTGCCCCAGTGGGGCCACCCCCAGTACCCTTCCCTGTGGCTGGGGTGGTGGCAGGGACAGCCTTTGTGGCTGGGGCATGGCGGGCAAGCAGGCCCACCCCAGGCACGCCATTCTTGACACTCTGTAAGTCCAAGACTTGCAGGCTCAGCTCCTGGGTGGGCGCTGGCTGGGAACCTGGGCACCCGGCAGGGACCTTGCCACTGCCGTGGGTGTGGGGAGCTCCCCCTGTGCTGCCCCCTTTCTGCTCGGCAGCTCCACTGATCCCAGAGGCCTTTGGGACCTTGCTTCCTGGGGGGCTCATCCCCAGCTCCCCTTTCTGCGTCCTCACCTTCAGGTCCAGCCCGAGGCCACACTTGCCAGTGGTTTGGGCCTTGAGCGCCAGTCTGTTGGCGGCCTGGGCCTGGCCCTGACTCATGCGGTTCATGTAGTGCACAATGGAACTCTGCCAGCTGATGCCGCCGCGGCTGGGGCTGCCCGCCATGCCTTTCATCAGGCTGGCCAGGTTCTCAGGGGTAGCCATGGCACTGGGGCCGCTGCAGGTCTCCTTGGTATGGGCCTTCAGGGCTGCCAGGCCTGCCACAGGTGCACTGAGTGGAGGGGGAAGCTTGCTAGCTGGGAGCCCCAGGTCCTTTCGAGCAGTCTTCAGCACCTTGGCCAGGCTCACAGGTCTGCGGGCGGCCTTCTGTTCCGGTGGCAGGGGCTTGCGTCCTCGCTTTTTGCGGATGGGATCCTTCAGCTCAGGCTTGGCCACCAGGATCTGGGCCTTCTTCTGAGGCACTGGGTGGGTCTCTCGGCCTCGGGGGCCCCTTTTGGAATCTAAGTCACTGTCCTCCTCTTCGTCTGAGGAGGAGGAGGAAGATGTGGAGGAAGAGGAGGAACTGCTGGATTTGGATTTGGAGGGAGCATCGGATTCCTGGAAAGACAAGGGTGAAAGCGCCATACCTCTACTGCCTGGTGCCAGGCTTTCCGCATGGAGTACCAGGAACCTCGCAGCCAGCAGCTGCTGGAGCTTCCAGGCCAGGGAGGCAGCCAGAAAAGAACAATTTCCCTGCTTCCGAAGGGACTTAACAGATTTTTATACGTTACTGTGAAATGTAAAATTAGGAACAGAAAAAAATAGAAATGGGTGTTTGCAAAAAGAAGTCATAGTGAGGTGACAGCACACCCAGCACTCTGCACAATCTCTGCCTTCTGGGGGACACATATTTAAGACAATCGGAGAAGGGCAAAGGTCACAGATCTCCAGGGGCCAAGAGCTGAATGAAGCAGACCACAGGGCCTCCCTGTGGAAACCAGGGCACAACCTGCTTCCATCTTCCTACTCCGAGTGTGACCCCTCAGAGCCTTCTAGCACGTAAGGCTTCTCTTCTGGGTGTCAGCCCAAATGCTAAATAAGGGTGTCTTCCTGCTTCTTGGGTCCCCATGCTGCCTGGCTACAAGGTTGATTTGAGGAGATAGAGCCAACATGCAGCCCGCTACAGCAGAGCTGTTTTGTCAGACCTGGAGGGCCCTGGCCTCTCTGACACGTACTGGTCTTGTTACCTCCAGATCCCTTTTCACATCAGTGGGATTTCTGCAGCCTGCACTAGAGAGGAAGATTTCAAAAAGAAGATGGAGTGGACAGCTTTGAAGACAAGTGAAGTCAGGACAGTCCAGCCAACATGATTCTAAGCAGGGAATCTAGTCTTAAGGAGGGATGGTCTTTGGAAGTAACTGCGTGCCAAGGTGTAGGGGCAGTGCCTCAGAACCCAGGACACACCCAAGACCAAGGTCAGAACCCCTTCCCCCATTGTCTCTAATGTGTCATGGGCCAGGGGTGATGTAAGGGACTTGGAGGTGTGTGCTTATCTGTGGGAGTGGGGCAAAAGCCGACCTCACTGCCCATTGTCACATCCGGGAAGGGCAACAGGACAGTGGCCACAGGTACCAGCACAGCACCACCACTCTCAGTCCTCCCAGTCCCCAGCCCTGCACTGGATTGGCTACTGGATTTATGGTGCACTCAGAGAGGGGGCTGGAGTAGCCCAACATTCTGGGCTTGACGGTTTGTCCTGCAGGCCCACATCTATGCAGCAAACCTGAGTACACAGGGTGCATGCATGCTTTCTGTTCCTCCCAACTCCTCCCAGTACTGGGGACTGAACCCAGGGCCTTTACACTGAGTTACATCTTCAGCCCTTTCAGTTTTTACTTTGAGGTAAGATCTTGTTAAGTCCGTCCCTAATTTTCCCAGGCTAGGTTCAAATATTTGATCCTCTTGCCTCAGTCTCCTAGAGTGCTGCTGGGACTGGCCACCATGCCTGGCTATACTTATTTACTGGTTCCCAGTGATAAGCCTCTAGAGGGGAGGAGTCATGTGTAGCAGCTAAGTTTGATCAGCTACCCAGTAGGAAGGAGTACAGAATGCAGAGCCACAGAAATAGGGAAACACTTTGGGAAATGGGCTGAGCCTTGCTGAGGTGGAAAGGATAGGGGCGGTGGACTTGTTGGTGCCCCCTGCTGGTAGACGCTTAGAGAGGCAGCAGGGGAAGACTGCTGCACAAATGCCCACCTCTTAGCCCAAACCACCTAGCCATGTCCAAGCCTGAAACCTTCCCCCTGTCCAGAACCGCTCTGGAAGTGAGAAGCCAAACAGGGTCAGCACACAAGGCCTGTAGCCACGCACCTTAAGTTTGGAACGCCGGCTGCAAGACGACATCACCATGTGCTTCCTTGGCCTGCCCCTAGGTCTCTTGCCTCTCTTCCGGTTCTGTACCTCCTTCTCGTGTTCCCTGAAGACACATCACTGGTCAGCACAGAGAATCCCCGCACCCCCCTCCACCACCTGGGAACCCCATGGGTTCCCTGCCATTCCAGGCTGCAGCAGCTCATCATTTCCTGCAGCAAAATGTATTTTGTCCATCAGGAGGCCTGTACCCCATCCTTTGCATTCCATCTTATTTGCATTTGGCTAAAGACAAATCAAAGATCTGAGAGCAAACTTAAGAAAGAGGTACATTTTCTTTTAAGGCAACTTTCTGCAGGTGGGCTGTTTTATGGAAATTCCAGCTTGGTTAATCAAAAGCAGTCTTTAGAATCACCTAGTCCAACCTCCTTACTTCAACAGAAGGAAGTCAGCAAGGCAATGACAAAGAATGCCCCTCAGGGTCTGCCTAAGCCCAGGGAGTCCTCACCCACTTGGGCTCCAGTCCTGCTTCTGCCTGCCAGGCTGCTGGCTCACCACTTCCTCCTTTTTCCTAATACCTCTCAGTTCTTGAACTGTATTCTTGACAGAGGTAATGAGATGGCAGTTCTGAGGCGGCTGGGCTCAAAGCCTGCAGCCTGCAGCAGCTCCCATGCAGCAGGGGTTAGGAGGTGCAGCCAAAGCCCTGCCCCCAGCCCGTAGAGCAAGCTTGAATTTCAGGACACCCCAGCAAGAAGGGGCCCTATCTGGAGAAGATGCCTAGTAATCACAGGAGGCAAATGTCCTTTCTTTGGGACCTAAAAGGGAAGCTCTTGAATCTGATTAGTACTCCCAGGGACAGCCCACATGCTGCAGCAGCCCCATCCTTTAACTTGCAGCTTCCGCATGGATGAGGTGGTGTCTCTTGGTCCAAGGGCTGTGAACTTGTGGCTTTCCTTCTAATGTACCCTTTTCCCAAAGCAAGGACCTGCCACACAGACATGTCCCTTCGCTGGGTAGGAGGAGGCAGAACATCTAGCTTCCTGACTTTTTTCTTCCACGGTGTAGCTATCAGACCATCCCACAGTTTTTAAATTTCTGTCTTTTGGATATTTTGGTCTCCTCTGCTCTAACCAAAAAGTTAGGTCAAAGACAGCTATTATGATGCTACTATTTTTTTCCAGTGCTGAGGATGGAATCCAGGGCCTTATGCATGCTAGGCAAATGCTCTAGCTCTGGCTCTACCCCTAGCTCCAGAACCCTGTCTGTTTTGGGAGACAGGGTCGTGCCATGGTGCCTAGGTTGGTCTTGAACCCTGGGTTCAAGTGATCTTCCCAAGCAGGTGGGACTAGGTGCAAGCTATGATACCCAAGCCATGAGTTAAATGGAGGGGAATGAGGTCACTGATATCTGCTTTGCCAGAAGTATTTCCTCCACTGTCCCCTGTCCCAGCACCTCTGCAAAGATCCAAAATGCCTAGCTACCTTGAGAAAAAGTGAAGACAGCCTGGGCTACCAGGAACAAACCCATCAGATTGACCCCAGCTGGGAAGGCTTTTGAGCAAACAATTCATCTGCCTCTAATGACAAGGCAAGCTCCAGAAGGGGGAAGGTATTCATGCTGCCCCTGGCATCATGGTCCATACAGGCAGGATGCATCCATCACCCTCCCTTCACCACTCCTTTCCCTTGCTCACAACAGTTGATCTCTTCCCCCACTCTCCTACCTAGAAGTAGAAACAACACCTCCAACTACAGAAGCAAATCCAGTCTGAATCTGGTAACAGCTAAAAGTGCTGCTCCTCACAAAATAGGTGCAACTCTGTGCTGTGGGCTCCAGCTCCATCTCTGAGCCTTCTCTTGCCCAGAGGCAAACTCACAAAGGGGCAAGAGGCTGGGTCTGCATTCTGCGGGCAGGAGTCTTAGCACTGTCTGCAAAGTGCTCCACAGAAGGTTCATTTTCACAAGTCTGGCTGTGAGAATGACCACAGCACCATCCGCCTGCACAGTCAGCCACCTAGAGGACACTGACACCTGTCTGCCAGGCCTGGCAACAGTTCTGTTATAGGACCTCAGCCTACAACTCCACAGATGTTCTACCCCGAGCTCCGGAACCCTGTTTTGGGAGGGCCCAAGGACCCTGGAGGGGCCACCTTCCCTGCAATGCCCCCTCCCGAATATGCTGTTAATTTTCTCACTTCTTCTGGAAGGCCAGGAGCAGCCTCGGGTCCAGAATGTTCTCCTCTGGCTCCCAGCTGTTATGTCTGGAAAATCAAAGAGCAAGGTACGGTCACACATCAGAACGAAACCCCATCAGTGGGGGGCCGCCCCAATGGCTTCCACGGGCCCGCTCAGGGCAAGGGCACCGTAGCAGGGTGGCAGTCCTCAGAGGCCCAAACCCAGATCCTCGGGGCCCTTGAAGCCTGCACCACAACTTCAAACCCACAAAGAAATTGCCACCTCAAGCCCCCAATTAAAACAGGCCACAAGGGGACTCCCGCTGTCTGTGCCCGGGAGGAAAACAAATCCCCTATAAAACGCAAAGTTGCAGAGGGAATCCCCTAAACTCTGGCCCGGAGCCAGGGAGGGAAGGGAAGGCAGGTCCAGAACGCCGGGAGGTGGGGGCGTGTGGGGCGTGGACGCAGCTCAAGTCTCAGAACAATGTGGTTGGCGCCCCTGCGAGCGCGGGACGCGCGCCGGTGCTGGCGGGGGCGCCGCAAAGAAAGGGGAGAGATGTCCAGGGAGAGAGGGCGCCCAGCAGCTCTAGACGGAGCCCCCCTTTCGAGGCTAAGTCCTCTCCCTCCCAAGCAGAGGAGAGAGAGGGAAAAAGTACATCTATCAATGCGAAGCTCAGGTTACAGAGAGGAAACCTGGACCGGGGAGGGGGCCCCGGGCCGGGTGCGGGGAGCCGCGGGGGGCGCATGCAACAAATGGGCGCGGAGGAGCGCGGCGCGCTGGGGCTCCGGGGCGGGAGGAGCCAAGCCCCACTCCCCCCGGGCTCGTAAACAAAGGGCAGCCCAGGCCGGGTCGGCGGAATGCCCGGGGATCCCGCGAACTTCTCGCCCTGACTGCGCACGCCCCCGAGCCCCAATCGCACGGCTGAGGGCCCCCAGGCCGCCTCCGTCCCTGGCGAGGTGGCGCGCGCGGGAAAGCTGGCCACACGCCGCGGACTCACTTGGAGGACCAGCCGCGCCACTTGACCAGGTACTCCAGCTTGCCCTGCGAAGAGAAGAGCAGGGGTGAGCCGGACGACCAGCGCGCGGCGGCCACGGGGGACGGAGGTGCACGCACCTTGCGGAGCCGTTTGCTCAGGATGCACTCGGCGGCGAAGACCT